TTTTTTTTTTTTTTGCATGAGTCAGTCCTTTGTGAAGGAATAACTATTCTCTTCCATTGGTGAAAACTTGTATTTTTTTAACTGTACATTCATTGTTCACAAAATATTTATTGACCATTAGTTCAACTTTTGTTGGCTAATCGGGGAATCTAGCGATCTTTTATCAAGTGGATTAAATAGCATTTAATTTCTGGCAGTTTGGTTTTGCTCTTTCTTATTCTGAAAATGTCATGGGGGAAATGTGCATACCTATAAATAACTTAAAACCTAACAAGGTAGACTCTCTGAGAAGCAGCATTCAGATTAGTGTCAACTTAATTTGTCTTTAAATTCCAAACATCACATAACAGATTTTTCCCCCCACCAGGCTGATTTTAACACCAACTTTTCTGGGGTGGATGAACATGCACCAATATGCTATGAGGACTTTGTAAACTTTTCTGATATTTTACAATCTAATGAAGACTATTTCAGGAAACTAGAAGAACTGAAGACTGCCCACATACAAACTATGGAAAAATTAGAGAAAATGTACCAGGATAAATTAAATATAAAGGTATTTCAGCCAGTAATCATCAAGGAAAATGGTCTTAGTAACTCTTCTAGGTAAGTTTGTACTCAATGTCATTGGTGGGACTGTAAAATAAAATGTATGCTTAAAAGTACAGTACAAAACTGTTTCAGAATATTTTCTCTTAAATATTCCTTTGTATTCTTAGGTGCATCACACAGAGGTGGGATTTTATTCAAAATGTTTAATGATTTATCAGCTTACTAGGTGACCTCTGGTTTTTTTGTTGTTTGTTTTTTTGAAACAGAGTGTCATTGTGTCACCCTCGGTAGAGTGCCAGAGCATCACAGCTTACAGCAACCTCCAGCTCTTGCCTCAGCCTTCCAAGTGGCTGGGACTGCAAGTGCCTGCCCCAATGCCTGGCTACTTTTTGGTTGTAGTTGTTGTTGTTGTTTGGCAGGCTCAGGCTGAATTTGAACCGCCAGCTCCAGCGTATGTGGCTGGCACCCAAGCCGCTGAGCTATAGGCACCAAGCCTGACCTCTGGTTTTGAGAGTCATTTAGTGGTCATTTGGTCTTTCCTCTATGAGCTACCATTCATAGAACTTTATTATATTTTTTTATAATTATATTTTTTATTTCATTCATTGCATTCTTCACTTCTGGATTATTTTTTTTTTTTTTCAGTTTTTGGCCGGAGCTGGGTTTGAACCTACCACCTCTGGCATATGGGGCCAGTGCCCTACTCCTTTGAGCCACAGGCGCTGCCCCCCATTCATAGAACTTTAGAAATGTATCAAAATACTTAGTTTGGACCATTTTAAATGATGAATACTTAAGTTTTATTTTATTTATTTTATTTTACTTTTTATTTTATTTATTTTATTTTATTATTTTAGACAAAGTGTCACTCTGTTGCCCTGGGTAAAGTAAGTATGGTGTCATCATAGCTCACAGTAACCTCAAACTCTTGGGTTCAAGCTATCCTCATGCCCTGTCTTCCCAAGTGTGTGGGACTACATACTTCCACTACAATGCCCAGCTAATTTTTCTGTTTTTAGTAGAGACGGGGTCTTGCTCTTGCTCAGGCTGGTCTCCATCTCCTGAGCTCAAGCAATCTACCCACCTTAGCCTGCCTCTCAGAGTGCTAGGATTTTT